AACTGCAGTTTCATATCATTTATTTAAAATATGTTCGTATTAATAGAGTTCATTTGCCGAAATCCGATCCATGTTTGTGCCGTTAAAAGAATTATGTTCTGTTCCATGGGTTCCAGGTAATAGTTGGTTTGCGTGTTTCTCCGACTTTGAAATCAGCCATCTTGTTGAATTCTCTTTTCAAGAGTTCAACCCAGTCGAATGTTTGTTGAGCCACAACACCCTTGATACGATGAAAGAGTTTGTCGTTGGTTTCACGAGCCTCACGCCATTTGCCATTGAGAACGTATTCATAGATCTCAGTCACATGTTCCGGATACAAATTCAACGAGATCGATGATATGGTTTCGAAGCCAAGAGTCAATACGCCAACAAGAATGGTGTCGGTGGACAAGATAATGTTATGACCTTCTTTCAACAAATTTGTGGCGGCTTCGATGTTGGTGTGTCTGTAGTAGATGCCATCAAAGTTCGGGATAGCACTATGCAATAATTCGTACAAGCGAAGGAGGTTCACTGTAATTGTAAAGAATAAAAGAATACATAAGTATTTGGCCAATGGATTCAATTGACAATGGTTGCTTACATCTAACGCTGGTATAGGTCGGAATGTGGTGATAGTAAATTGGACGAGTTGGACAGTGTTTAACAACATCCTTAATATAGTCGACCAAATCTTCTTCGGTTCTGGGTTTGTAGAACAAGTCCGGCAAGAGAGTAATGCAATCGACGCCAATTTTCTCTGCATGCTCGACCAAGTCGTATACTTCAGTCACTCCGACACCGCCGATGGTCAGCAACATTGTAAGACCGTGTTTGCGGCAAACTTTCAACCATTCCTCAGCCAAGCGCTTGTGCTCTTCAAAACGAAGGCAAGTTCCTTCGCCAACGGTTCCATTCACCAAAACACCATGAATTCCTTTCGTCTTCAAGTATTGACCATACTTTTCGATGACATCGTAGTCGATGGTTCGCCTGTAAAATTCAAAATAATCATAAATGATTTGGAAACTTTTCTAATTTATATATTTTTAAATTGATCAAATGATTCTTACTTGTCTTGTGTGAATGGTGTGAACACCGGACAAATCAATCCTTTGAATTGAAACTTTACCATTTTCGCCCCAATTTTTAAAACCTTTCTCAAACTTGAAATGCAAAGAATCGCTCGTTATTCGTTGCAAGCACGAACTGATTGATGACTTCTTGGTAGAGGGACCCGGTATTTATACCAATTTGTAATCAATAATTGATGAAAAAATG